CCATGTAGGGCTTTAAAGGTGATAACCAACACCTTGAATTGGACCCAGAAACAAACTGGCACGCAATGCAGCTCCCGCAGCAAAGGTGTTATATGTGCCATCCCCAGGACACCCAAGATTATCTGCGTGGGCGCATTTTGAACTGGCTGTAACTTCCAGATACCCTTCAAGGGTAGTCCCATGTAGTACGCATTGCAATAGTCTAACCGATGTAATCTGTCTATAATTCTGAAAGGTTTTCCCCCGTACATTTTGATGATAGTCTTCTTGCATTAGCTGACCCATGGTTTATGTTGTGTTTCATTCTTCCTTTGGTTACAGCATAATTCTGAACTCTTGATATATAGGAATTGCCTTTTACTTCGTCCTGTTTTGTTCTGCAGCGAGGCTACTATTTATAGAGACTGTGACTTAAATTGTAATGAAGTTGATTTGTATTATATCAGATCTGCAGATAGGTGCTTATTGTGGAAGAGTTACTATCACCCCAGGCAAGTAGCTCTTTACAGTGGAATCTCGGGTTACGGATTTAATCCGTTCCGTGACTCTGGTCGCAACCCGATTTGTTCGCAACCCGAAGCAAATTTTCCCATAAGGTTCAATGTAATTACCGTTAATCCGTTCCGGCGTCCACGGACCACGCGTCAAGCGTGGAAAAACGGCCGCGGACCACGCAGCAGGGCGGAAAAACGGCCACGGACCGCGCAGCAGGGCGGAAAAATGGCCGCGGACCATGTGGCACGGGCAGAAAATGGCCGCGGACCACGTGGCACGGCAGAAAATGGCCGCGGATCCGGTTCGTACCCCGAGGCGGAGTTCGCAAACCGAGGTAAATTTTTGCGGCTGGAGCTGGTCGCAACCTGAAAAGTTCGTAAGCAGAGGCGTTCATAACCCGAGGTACCACTGTATTACCATATTGAAACATTGGATACTATTGTTTTCCCAAGCATCGCTCTGCCTCTCACCGCCATCAGTGGAAAAGAAACATTTGAGTTCAGGTGGTCAGGAAGGGCCATCTCATCAGGTTGTAGGCTCAAGAATGAAGTTCAATCAGAGTAAGATGGTTAGCAGTGTCCATGAGGGAGGGTGGGGGTAGTTGAGAATGATGCAAGCAGCATTGTGGTGGTGTGATGCAAGCCCTGTTCCTTTACCATACACATTGCAAACTTGCACATATTGCCCCCAAAGGATAGAGTTTGCAGCACCATACTGCTGAAGAAGATGCACGCTTTGTAATGTTTTAGTGTCAGATGGGAAATGTGGAAGTTGCGACAAAAATCTAATGGTTATAAGCACATTTAGGATCTTCTCTGCTGTTGTTTGCATTAGCCGTATCACAGAGTGCAAGGGGCCAGTAGTTCTGTGCTATATGTAAATAGTGGGTTTTGTTTTTTGTTTGTTGTTTGTTGTGCCTTTGGGTGAGAGAGGGAGAGGGAGAGAGCGAGGGAAAGAGAGAGGGGGGAGAGGGAGAGAGAGGGGGGAGGGGAGGGAGAGAGGGGGGTGAGAGAGAGAGAGAGAGAGAATGTGTGACCAAGGTCACCCAGCTGGCTTTGTGCCTACAGTGGGACTAGAACTCCCAGCCTGGTGCCTGAACTGCTACACCAAACTGGCTTGCAAGTAGCGGTATATGTTACAGAAAAAGTGGTGTTTCTAAATTTTCTAACAATATGATGAAATGGCCTTTTTCCTCAGATAATAGTAATTTTTTTTACCATCATGGTGTAGTAATCCTTGTAGAGATCTGAGACTAGCTGATATGTAATTATCATTTTGAGTTATGTTTTATGTTGTGGTCAGAGCTAAAACAATAAACAAAACTGTTAAAGCTTCTTTGTAGAAACCATAGTTTGGGAAAATAATGAGCATTTGACACTTGAGACATAGCTTGTTTTTTTTAACATGCTCATCATGCTTTCATGGATAGACACATAACCAAATTCACTGTGTAGAGAATACGTCTTTATTCATTGTTGTTATCTTTGGTTATCATTGAGCAAAAGATGAGTAGTCCCAGGAGATGAATTAATAAGTGAATATGGGTGGAGACAGATTCATAATGCTTACTAGCCTATAATTCCTTGCATAGATACATTGGTTATTCTTGGCCTAAAAAGGCATGTGAGGTCACCTGAAATTGCTTGCAAGTCAGGTAGTCAAATACCTGACCAGTAAAAACCAAAAGTTCTCACCCAAACAAGAATAAAAAATGCAGCATCACCTCTTCTAACAGAAAAACTAGCACTGTAACCCTTTGCACATTCCCTTAAACAAAACAAAGGCTCTCAGCAAGGAGTATATATATCTTCATGCCTCTGTCACTTCATTACAAAACATTTCAGCCACTGTTGCCCCCTTTCTTCCAGAATTATCTTTTCCAGAATATGCTGAGGGCTCTACTGAACAATGATCAAGAGGTGACTGAAAGAGCTCATTGCCAGATTTCCTTGTAAGGACAAGAATAAATGTGCAATTTTACATTTTTTTTCTTTTGCTCTTCTATACCCTGCAAAGGCAGACAACCATTTCCAAACATGTTTTCAGGGGGTCTTGGAAGAAACATTTGTTCCCTAAGAACCTAAGAAGACCTCCGCTAAATAAGGTCATAGGCCTCCCTGGTCCATCATTCTGTGGCCAGAACACCCAACCAGTTTTCTTTAGGAAGATCCCAAAGAGGACTTTTTTTTTTTAATCCATTCAATCGTGTCCGATTCATGGAGACTGCCTGGACAAGTCCCTGCAGTTTTCTTGGCAGGGTTTTTCAGAAGTGGTTTGCCATTACCTCCTTCCTAGGGCTGAGAGAAAGTGACTGGCCCAAGGTCACCCAGCTGGCTTTGTACCTAAGGCGGGCCTAGAATTCACAGTCTCCTGGTTTCTGTCTCAGTG